AAACATTTGATTTCTATTGATAGGGATTTGAGCTGATTAGTTTTTGCAAAAGCAGGTCCAGCCGTTACGGAGATAAAGAGCAAAGTGTGCAGAAAATAGAAATCGAGTTTTTGAGAGAACGTAACATCCGATTTGAATGATCTAAAAAACATTCAATTAGTAATGATTGGGAGAAGTGTTTATTAGTTTTTGGCAACGGCAGGCCCAGCCATTTCAAAGATACGGAGCTAAATGTGTAAAAAATGGCAGTTTTTGAGAGAACTGAACGTCCGATTTAAATGATTCAAAGAACTTTCTGCTTGTCTTAACAAAATAATTGATTTTGTAAAAAAAAAATTGTTTCAACTTTTTTTTTGAAAAAAAAAATTTTTGTATATCGAAAATAATTCAGATTTTATTTTTAATTCTGACTATAGTTTTGATATACTTTAAACAAATAATTTCAACTTTGCAATTCAGTTTATATAATTCTTATAAATATTAGACAATGTTACAATAATAATAATAATCTAGTTGAAAACATTCAGTATTCCTCGAACATTTTGTTACGGTACGGGAAGTCCAGCAATTTGCCTTAAGGCACGACGCCATACACCCACCCCACTAGTTTTTGCATTAAAATTTTAAAAACATTCAAAATTATTTATGATATTAATATTTAGATATTAAAATTAAAATACAGTTTATTCATTTATCTATAATCTTTAAGATATTTAAATATGTATAAAAACGTTTTGGAGGAGCTGGGATTTGAACCCAGGACTTCCCGCATGCGAAGCGGACACTCTACCCCTGAGTTACACCCCCGTAGTAATAAACTATTATTTTCGCATTTATATTTTCAAAATGTGTCAAAAAATGAATGCAATGCTGTTGCGATTATATGTTTGACATATACACAGTTTTGTTCATGAAATAAAAGATCATTCGAAATACAAATTCGAAACAAAAAAATATTCAAAAAAGATTAATTAACTTTATGTTTAAATTAAATACAAAATTATGTTTGAAAAGAAATATTGATATCCAATAATTAAAATGACGTTCAACCTCTGAATAACATACAAACTTCAAACTAAAACGGCCGTGTGAAGCGCCGAAAATTATATTCTGCAATTCCAGAATGGAATCGACCCCTCGAACAAAATCAATGAAAGATGAATCAGTACTGGATTCGGGATTTAGCTCAAATGACGGCCAAGGGCGAATTGGCCGTCATACAAATTCAACACAAATGAGCGCACTTTTAGCTATGGATCACTTGCACGAACTCGAAAGTATCTCAAAAGATGAAGGCCGAATGAAAAAGATGAAAATCCCCGAACCCAAAGCGAAAATGAACATTAATAAACCAGAGGTAGAGGAAAGCAAAAACGATGAGGAGACACCGGTCCGAATTAAAACAGCTATTAGAAATCCCATTACAGGGGAAATGAATTATTTTTAATTGACAATCATAAATTTACAGTGATTATTTTTTCTAATTATGTGAAATAATCATTTATAAAACAATTTTCTAACAGAACTAAATGTTTTTTATTTGTTTAGCTAATTTATCTTATTAATATTTCAAGTAAGATAAGATAAGATAATATTCTTAATAATACAAGTAACTTATATCAGCTACCTGTCAATTTAAGTTTTTTCAAAATTGGTTCAGCCAATTTTAAAGATTTTTCGGATCAAACAGACAGGCAAACAAAAAATATTAAAAATGTTATTTTGGCAAAACAGCAAAAGACGGCAAATCAGTTTTTAAGAGAACGGAGCGTTCAATTTGAATGGTTCAATATAAACATTTCACATGTATTGACGAAATGATTGAATTTTTGGGAAAGTAGGTCCAGCGGTTTCGGAAATTAAAAAAATATGCCATCTGGCAATCAAAAATGATCATTTGACACATGCACATCAAATTATCAGATATCTTATAGAGATTTTAGTGATAAATTTGATTAAGTTCAGTTGAGAAGACTGGGTATGGCTGTGCCACTTTTTTTAATCAGAAATAATTTTAAAATAATAGGTAGCTGAAGAAAAAATAAATTAAATGGTACTGCTACTTAAATACGATGGATTTGTCATAAAATCAAGTAATACAAAAAACGGGCGAGTGTCACAATGGTTGATACCAGAGGGATGGTTGTGACAGGCTTAAAAATATGGTAAAAACAATAGTTACATTGTAACAAACAAAACTTACATTGTCGTTAATAATAATAATCTGCAACACAACACACCATATTCATTTAAATAAAACTTATGAATAAAATATTATATAACAAAACGTAATTTTTTAAACAAAGGTAATAAGAATTTTTTGTGATTTTTTTTCTGTTGAATTTGCCGTTTCTTTTATCTTTCGTATTTTGTTTTAGTTAAGTTAGATTTTTTTGCCTATTTAGTCTTTACCCGAAACTGACAAGAAATATATGTCACAACTGTAAATGTACCCACAAAATTTGTCACTACCGTACTCAATGCACATTTTTGAAAACAAATCATCGTTATGACTGAGCTTCTACGCAACAATTAACTTCTAATATTCACTTTACAGCTAAATAACAAAGAATCGATAGGAATCTAATGTTTTTTGAATCATTTATTCGGTTGAACCGTGTCCCCGAAATCGGGAAATTTGTATCCGAACACACACACACATGCACATTTATCCATTTATCTAATTGTAAGGTGTTCAGAAACTTTTGAAATATTAAGATATATAAACATTTTAATTTTCGATTTTTTAACGATTATTATAACTTGCCCTACGGGAAGCTAAAATATGAGTTTTATTTATTTGTTTGTTCAAAAATGTAGAAAATTCAAATTCAGAGTTTTGTATAAAGTTGTGATCTGATCTTATATTAATACTAGGGTTTGTCGGTTTTTAAAAACCGGTTTTAAAAACCGGTTTTTTGACGAAAATTATGGAATTCGAAAACCGGTTCTTTAGTGAAAAATGTCGGTTTTCACTGTAGAAATGGAAAATGATAAATATATCCAAATAAAGATAGATGAAAGCGTTTTGATTCTTGAAACTATATCGGTTCAATAGCATTTGTAATCTTATCAGTCTGCATGGTTCCCAGAAAGGTTTTGTTGATATTAATTTAGATTTTTATACCAGTGTATCTATTAATATCAATCAGTGTGACTTCTTCTTGAAGAAGTAACTTCCTCTACTCAAAGTTAAAAAAATAAAAGTTTTAAACTCTAGAGGTCACAAATTAAAGAACAAGAAACTTAGAATTATTATATCAGGCTTTAAAAATAATTAAGCATAATTTGGTCGCAAGTATGAGAGTATTTTCTATTTCAGAAAATTTTGTGAGTAAACAATAAAGGACACGTCTAAGTAGCAATTCGATAGACGTTCTCAGTTTTTTTAAATCATATTTTATTAAACAAAAAAACAATTAGAATGTTTAAAATTAATTAATTAAAATTGCTCGGAACAGACAATACGCGAGTTTAGCTTAAATGTTTTTAAAACTAAAATTGATATTAACAAGTATGTATCAACATGTATCTAATATTTTTTTAATTTTTTTTTCATTCAATGAATGTTTTTTTATTTAAAATTGTATTATTTTTATTTATTCGAAAACTTTCCTTTCACTATCATAAAAATATTTTCATTCTTATATGTGAAAATGATGCATGAATAACGAATAATTATTTTCAAAGTTATTTAATCAAGATAAACTATTATTTTTTAGTTCTACTAATTAAAATTAAAATAATTTTGTTTATTATCTAGAAAATTGAACAATAAATAAATTCAATCAAATACTGCTCTAAATTACACTAAATTACAGGATATTCGAGCAAAAATTTATTTTCTATATAAAATTCGAAAACCGGTTTTTTAGTAAAATTAAAATTCGAGAACCGGTTTTCTGAAATGTCGGTTTTTGTATAAACCCTAATTAATACTATTAGATGCTTTTAAAAATTAGAACTTTCCACCAATAACTTCTTAAAAGTGCAATTTTCTAAGCATAAAATGTTGGGGTTGAAATTAAAAGACTGGGAATTTTTGGGAATGGGGACAGAGTGTTGAACCTGGATGCTTTTATAGTTTCTTTGTTTATGATGGACTAAGCTCATGTAGTCGTATTGTGAGGTTAGATTGTGAGGAACAATCATTGCAAACAACCGAATATACTACTATGCTAATAAGTTTAATATTGAAAATAATTCTTCGTTAGATTTTTTAAAATTTCAATAATTTATTCAACAGAAAGTTAAGGGGCACAAGTAGTGTAACCGCCTAAAAAAAGGTGATTTTTGGGAATTTATATTAAAAAACTACTTTATCAATAATTTCAAAATTTTAGGAATATATTTATACATGTTTTAAGAATACATGGCAAAATTTTTGAGAAAAAAAAAAAAATATTTTTTAAGTTATCGCCGATCTCCAACGGCGTGACAAAAAAAAGGCCCTTAACTGCTGCAGTGATACCGGCATTCTATATGGATGAAAACAAAAAAAAAATTCTCGTTAATCTAGATAATATTGTCTGTAAAATGAACTACGATAAAAAAATAAATAAAAAATTGACAAAATGGCGGCGTTTTTTTAAAAAAAGTCGAATTTTACCCAAAATTTTGGTCGTTTTTCGACTGCCAAAATTCGATTTTTGATCCGATCAAAAAATCGATAGATCATTTTACGGAGAACTATATAAAGAACATGTAACAAAAAATTGATAGTGATTAAATCCTTCGTTTTTGAGTAATCACTGCAGCAAATTCGGAAGATGCTGTTTCGAGAAAAACGCGTTTAAAGATAAAATGATCATTGTACTATATGCTATATATATACTTTTTAAATAGCTGTAACTCAAAAACTATTTGAGATATCGATTTGAAATTTTATTATGTTATTTTTAAAGGTGTAATCTACCGAAATATGAAAAAAAATTGATTTTTTAGAAATTTCACACTAGTTGTGCCCCTTAATAATTTAAATCGATCCATTATATTTTCAGGTTCTGCACCGTGTTGTCGACGATACGCGATCGTCATGCTGATGTTGTGCAGACCATGGCTCAGGGAGTTCTTGAATTGAAAGACAGGACGGACGCTATCGATCCACCAGTGGAATTATCGATCCAGTACTTCTTGGATCGACTCTACATGTCCAGAATATCTATAAGAATGCTCATAAATCAACACAGTACGTACTTAATATTCAAATGTTTAATTAGGTGTAAGTGGTGTTCTATCGACAAGTTTTTTTGCATAGATTTATTGCCGATCAAAATAATATAATTTTTTAAGACAACATGCTGGGTGTAAATGCATTTAAAGAGATTATCTCCTATGAGATATTTCTTTTTTTTATTTTTTGACATTTCATTTAAGATCGTCTGGCCATTATTTTCAATCTTCTTGTAGGAGATTCCTCGCTGTCGACAAGTTGTATGAACTTCCCGATACGTGTAAATAATTGTCTGAACTAGTGATGTATGGCATAGTGCCTTAAGGAAAATTGCTGGTACTTTCTGTACCAAATATTATTTTTTTTAAAGTTATTCAAAAAAATTTTAAAACTTTGAAGAAGTTCTATTTAAAAAAAAATGATTTTTTGTAAACAAAATTTAAACAAAATGTAAACAAAATGTATACTTATTATTAAAATATCTATAAAATGTCTGATAATTGATGTGCATGCATATGTTTGATGATCATTTTCGACGACTAAATTTTTTTACTCGATCTCCGAAACTGCTTGCTTTCCCAAAAATTTAATTAAATCTTTATTTTGTCAATAAAAGTAACATGTTTTTTTGAATTATTCAAATGGGAAAGTGTGCCAAAATGTTTAGAAACCTCTGAAACATAAAGATATATAAAAAAAATTATTTTTGATTTTTTTGCGATTACTATGACTTATCCTAAAGGGAATGGGAATATCCTAAAAGTGTAGCTATTATTCCGAACTTTATTGAATTTTTACAACTAAAGCACTTCTCGTAGGCCTCTAATATTTCAGGATGTTTGTTAATTTTGTTAGATCATGAATACCGCATCGCTATGTTAGATTTCCTTAAAAGTAGCAAATAACTTTTTGTACGAAGAAACGGCTTAAAAATTTTGGATCCAAGATGATATGCTTCGAATGGCTTTTAACTTTTCTGAATCGGTTCAGAATTTTTTTGCAAAAACGTAAACGAAAGATTTTACACTTTTCTGGTTCGTTCTATCAGATCGCAAAACTATCACCGCGAGTTCTTTTGAAGTTTCATCGAATGCCGTTTTTAAGAAAACATCGACGATTGGTCTAAACTTGGTTTACAACACAAAAACTCTGCTCATTTTTCCAAACCTTTTTTTTTTCAAATTCAGTTATATTTTAGTATTTTTCTCAAGACCATGAAATCAATAGTCATAAAAAGTTTTATTAAAACCGTATAAAAATATTTCAACAATTAATTACGAAGAACGGACCGGTCAACCTTAATCAAAAACTAATTAGAACGATTTCCGACCAATATCTTTCGAACAGTTTTTGAATTTTTAAAATCGTTTCAGGATTTTTCAGGAGTCTAGATAAGGACTAAGATTGAAAAATCAGTTAACACCGGTTGAAATCCGGATTTTTTAGTGTAAATAAACATCTTCGGGGAGTTAAAAATTAGATTAGCTAATTTGAGTTTGCTTGTGTGAATGTTTTAGTTTTGTGGTTTTTGAAAATGGTGCAATGACGTTAATACAACACTTATTTTTGGATGTGGTTATATGTCTGGGAGCTGCTTCAAATTTTATGTGAATTTAATAGAAAATTCAATGTTAAAAAACAGAAACATATATTTTAAACCAGGTGCAAGGTGCAAGTGGCATTTTGCATTAAGGCAAGTTGCATAAACGTTTAAATAATCTACCTGATAAATAAGATTTTAGAAATCGGTTCAGCCGTTTTTGGGAAATCATGACGAAAATCAAATTTTTGACTCATCACATAGTAACGACTCAACAATATAGTAACGTAAATATATCTAATTTTTTTTTTTTAATTTTTTATTTGGCCTAGCTTACTCTGAGCATTTAGCCACCTACAACATTTTTTATTTTTAGTTACAATTCTAATTTTTATATCATTTTCAATCTATTTTATGTATTCTATTCTATATTTTCTTAATTTTTCTTTTTCTTATTATTTTCTTCAATTCTTGTTCTTTTTCAAATTTCTAATTTTATTTAACTTTCAGCTTCATACCATTTTTTCTTCATTCTTCTTTCAAGTTCCAATATTCCTCTTCTTACTCCTAAATCAATTCAACTGTTCGAATTCTGTTATACCTATTTTTCCTAATTTTTATTCAAATTCTATTTAACAAATACAATTTTTATTTGATTTCAAATTAACTACACATATTACTTGAATAATTCAACAAACATTCGATTGCTGTTGATAAGAAGACGTGCTGATTAGTTTTTGACATTAGCAGGTCTAGCCGTTTCGTTTGGGACAAAAAGTGCCACAAACGGTAACTCAGTTTTTATGAGAACGGAGCGTCCGATTTTAATAATTTAGGAAACAGTTTACTTGTATTGACAAGAGGAAGAATTGATAAAGTTTTCAAGAAGGCAGGTCTAGCGGTTTCTGAGATCTAGTGAAAAAAAGTAAAAAAAAGATGCCATTTGGCGGTCAAAAATGATCATTAGACATATGCACATCAAATTATCAGATGTTTTATAGAGATTTTAACAATAAATATAAATTTTGTTCACATTCCTATAGGTTTCGTACCAATGTTTACGCGCTTCGATAATTTGTCTCTATGCAGTTAAAGCAGTATGATTGCTTTGAAAAAAAGTTCAGAGTTTCCAAAATATTTCAAAATAAAGAAAACATTTTTTCTCAGTCTTTTTTTTTAAAAAAAAGTAAATTTTTACTCGATCTCCGAAACTGCTTGCTTTCCCAAAAATTTAATTAAATCTTTATTTTGTCAATAAAAGTAACATGTTTTTTTGAATTATTCAAATGGGAAAGTGTGCCAAAATGTTTAGAAACCTCTGAAACATAAAGATATATAAAAAAAATTATTTTTGATTTTTTTGCGATTACTATGACTTATCCTAAAGGGAATGGGAATATCCTAAAAGTGTAGCTATTATTCCGAACTTTATTGAATTTTTACAACTAAAGCACTTCTCGTAGGCCTCTAATATTTCAGGATGTTTGTTAATTTTGTTAGATCATGAATACCGCATCGCTATGTTAGATTTCCTTAAAAGTAGCAAATAACTTTTTGTACGAAGAAACGGCTTAAAATTTTGGATCCAAGATGATATGCTTCGAATGGCTTTTAACTTTTCTGAATCGGTTCAGAATTTTTTTGCAAAAACGTAAACGAAAGATTTTACACTTTTCTGGTTCGTTCTATCAGATCGCAAAACTATCACCGCGAGTTCTTTTGAAGTTTCATCGAATGCCGTTTTTAAGAAAACATCGACGATTGGTCTAAACTTGGTTTACAACACAAAAACTCTGCTCATTTTTCCAAACCTTTTTTTTTTCAAATTCAGTTATATTTTAGTATTTTTCTCAAGACCATGAAATCAATAGTCATAAAAAGTTTTATTAAAACCGTATAAAAATATTTCAACAATTAATTACGAAGAACGGACCGGTCAACCTTAATCAAAAACTAATTAGAACGATTTCCGACCAATATCTTTCGAACAGTTTTTGAATTTTTAAAATCGTTTCAGGATTTTTCAGGAGTCTAGATAAGGACTAAGATTGAAAAATCAGTTAACACCGGTTGAAATCCGGATTTTTTAGTGTAAATAACATCTTCGGGGAGTTAAAAATTAGATTAGCTAATTTGAGTTTGCTTGTGTGAATGTTTTAGTTTTGTGGTTTTTGAAAATGGTGCAATGACGTTAATACAACACTTATTTTTGGATGTGGTTATATGTCTGGGAGCTGCTTCAAATTTTATGTGAATTTAATAGAAAATTCAATGTTAAAAACAGAAACATATATTTTAAACCAGGTGCAAGGTGCAAGTGGCATTTTGCATTAAGGCAAGTTGCATAAACGTTTAAATAATCTACCTGATAAATAAGATTTTAGAAATCGGTTCAGCCGTTTTTGGGAAATCATGACGAAAATCAAATTTTTGACTCATCACATAGTAACGACTCAACAATATAGTAACGTAAATATATCTAATTTTTTTTTTTTTAATTTTTTATTTGGCCTAGCTTACTCTGAGCATTTAGCCACCTACAACATTTTTTATTTTTAGTTACAATTCTAATTTTTATATCATTTTCAATCTATTTTATGTATTCTATTCTATATTTTCTTAATTTTTCTTTTTCTTATTATTTTCTTCAATTCTTGTTCTTTTTCAAATTTCTAATTTTATTTAACTTTCAGCTTCATACCATTTTTTTCTTCATTCTTCTTTCAAGTTCCAATATTCCTCTTCTTACTCCTAAATCAATTCAACTGTTCGAATTCTGTTATACCTATTTTTCCTAATTTTTATTCAAATTCTATTTAACAAATACAATTTTTATTTGATTTCAAATTAACTACACATATTACTTGAATAATTCAACAAACATTCGATTGCTGTTGATAAGAAGACGTGCTGATTAGTTTTTGACATTAGCAGGTCTAGCCGTTTCGTTTGGGACAAAAAGTGCCACAAACGGTAACTCAGTTTTTATGAGAACGGAGCGTCCGATTTTAATAATTTAGGAAACAGTTTACTTGTATTGACAAGAGGAAGAATTGATAAAGTTTTCAAGAAGGCAGGTCTAGCGGTTTCTGAGATCTAGTGAAAAAAAGTAAAAAAAAGATGCCATTTGGCGGTCAAAAATGATCATTAGACATATGCACATCAAATTATCAGATGTTTTATAGAGATTTTAACAATAAATATAAATTTTGTTCACATTCCTATAGGTTTCGTACCAATGTTTACGCGCTTCGATAATTTGTCTCTATGCAGTTAAAGCAGTATGATTGCTTTGAAAAAAAGTTCAGAGTTTCCAAAATATTTCAAAATAAAGAAACATTTTTTCTCAGTCTTTTTTTTTAAAAAAAGTAAATTTTTACTCGATCTCCGAAACTGCTTGCTTTCCCAAAAATTTAATTAAATCTTTATTTTGTCAATAAAAGTAACATGTTTTTTTGAATTATTCAAATGGGAAAGTGTGCCAAAATGTTTAGAAACCTCTGAAACATAAAGATATATAAAAAAAATTATTTTTGATTTTTTTGCGATTACTATGACTTATCCTAAAGGGAATGGGAATATCCTAAAAGTGTAGCTATTATTCCGAACTTTATTGAATTTTTACAACTAAAGCACTTCTCGTAGGCCTCTAATATTTCAGGATGTTTGTTAATTTTGTTAGATCATGAATACCGCATCGCTATGTTAGATTTCCTTAAAAGTAGCAAATAACTTTTTGTACGAAGAAACGGCTTAAAAATTTTGGATCCAAGATGATATGCTTCGAATGGCTTTTAACTTTTCTGAATCGGTTCAGAATTTTTTTGCAAAAACGTAAACGAAAGATTTTACACTTTTCTGGTTCGTTCTATCAGATCGCAAAACTATCACCGCGAGTTCTTTTGAAGTTTCATCGAATGCCGTTTTTAAGAAAACATCGACGATTGGTCTAAACTTGGTTTACAACACAAAAACTCTGCTCATTTTTCCAAACCTTTTTTTTTTCAAATTCAGTTATATTTTAGTATTTTTCTCAAGACCATGAAATCAATAGTCATAAAAAGTTTTATTAAAACCGTATAAAAATATTTCAACAATTAATTACGAAGAACGGACCGGTCAACCTTAATCAAAAACTAATTAGAACGATTTCCGACCAATATCTTTCGAACAGTTTTTGAATTTTTAAAATCGTTTCAGGATTTTTCAGGAGTCTAGATAAGGACTAAGATTGAAAAATCAGTTAACACCGGTTGAAATCCGGATTTTTTAGTGTAAATAAACATCTTCGGGGAGTTAAAAATTAGATTAGCTAATTTGAGTTTGCTTGTGTGAATGTTTTAGTTTTGTGGTTTTTGAAAATGGTGCAATGACGTTAATACAACACTTATTTTGGATGTGGTTATATGTCTGGGAGCTGCTTCAAATTTTATGTGAATTTAATAGAAAATTCAATGTTAAAAAACAGAAACATATATTTTAAACCAGGTGCAAGGTGCAAGTGGCATTTTGCATTAAGGCAAGTTGCATAAACGTTTAAATAATCTACCTGATAAATAAGATTTTAGAAATCGGTTCAGCCGTTTTTGGGAAATCATGACGAAAATCAAATTTTTGACTCATCACATAGTAACGACTCAACAATATAGTAACGTAAATATATCTAATTTTTTTTTTTTTTAATTTTTTATTTGGCCTAGCTTACTCTGAGCATTTAGCCACCTACAACATTTTTTATTTTTAGTTACAATTCTAATTTTTATATCATTTTCAATCTATTTTATGTATTCTATTCTATATTTTCTTAATTTTTCTTTTTCTTATTATTTTCTTCAATTCTTGTTCTTTTTCAAATTTCTAATTTTATTTAACTTTCAGCTTCATACCATTTTTTCTTCATTCTTCTTTCAAGTTCCAATATTCCTCTTCTTACTCCTAAATCAATTCAACTGTTCGAATTCTGTTATACCTATTTTTCCTAATTTTTATTCAAATTCTATTTAACAAATACAATTTTATTTGATTTCAAATTAACTACACATATTACTTGAATAATTCAACAAACATTCGATTGCTGTTGATAAGAAGACGTGCTGATTAGTTTTTGACATTAGCAGGTCTAGCCGTTTCGTTTGGGACAAAAAGTGCCACAAACGGTAACTCAGTTTTTATGAGAACGGAGCGTCCGATTTTAATAATTTAGGAAACAGTTTACTTGTATTGACAAGAGGAAGAATTGATAAAGTTTTCAAGAAGGCAGGTCTAGCGGTTTCTGAGATCTAGTGAAAAAAAGTAAAAAAAAGATGCCATTTGGCGGTCAAAAATGATCATTAGACATATGCACATCAATTATCAGATGTTTTATAGAGATTTTAACAATAAATATAAATTTTGTTCACATTCCTATAGGTTTCGTACCAATGTTTACGCGCTTCGATAATTTGTCTCTATGCAGTTAAAGCAGTATGATTGCTTTGAAAAAAAGTTCAGAGTTTCCAAAATATTTCAAAATAAAGAAAACATTTTTTCTCAGTCTTTTTTTTAAAAAAAAGTAAATTTTTACTCGATCTCCGAAACTGCTTGCTTTCCCAAAAATTTAATTAAATCTTTATTTTGTCAATAAAAGTAACATGTTTTTTTGAATTATTCAAATGGGAAAGTGTGCCAAAATGTTTAGAAACCTCTGAAACATAAAGATATATAAAAAAAATTATTTTTGATTTTTTTGCGATTACTATGACTTATCCTAAAGGGAATGGGAATATCCTAAAAGTGTAGCTATTATTCCGAACTTTATTGAATTTTTACAACTAAAGCACTTCTCGTAGGCCTCTAATATTTCAGGATGTTTGTTAATTTTGTTAGATCATGAATACCGCATCGCTATGTTAGATTTCCTTAAAAGTAGCAAATAACTTTTTGTACGAAGAAACGGCTTAAAAATTTTGGATCCAAGATGATATGCTTCGAATGGCTTTTAACTTTTCTGAATCGGTTCAGAATTTTTTTGCAAAAACGTAAACGAAAGATTTTACACTTTTCTGGTTCGTTCTATCAGATCGCAAAACTATCACCGCGAGTTCTTTTGAAGTTTCATCGAATGCCGTTTTTAAGAAAACATCGACGATTGGTCTAAACTTGGTTTACAACACAAAAACTCTGCTCATTTTTCCAAACCTTTTTTTTTCAAATTCAGTTATATTTTAGTATTTTTCTCAAGACCATGAAATCAATAGTCATAAAAAGTTTTATTAAAACCGTATAAAAATATTTCAACAATTAATTACGAAGAACGGACCGGTCAACCTTAATCAAAAACTAATTAGAACGATTTCCGACCAATATCTTTCGAACAGTTTTTGAATTTTTAAAATCGTTTCAGGATTTTTCAGGAGTCTAGATAAGGACTAAGATTGAAAAATCAGTTAACACCGGTTGAAATCCGGATTTTTTAGTGTAAATAAACATCTTCGGGGAGTTAAAAATTAGATTAGCTAATTTGAGTTTGCTTGTGTGAATGTTTTAGTTTTGTGGTTTTTGAAAATGGTGCAATGACGTTAATACAACACTTATTTTTGGATGTGGTTATATGTCTGGGAGCTGCTTCAAATTTTATGTGAATTTAATAGAAAATTCAATGTTAAAAAACAGAAACATATATTTTAAACCAGGTGCAAGGTGCAAGTGGCATTTTGCATTAAGGCAAGTTGCATAAACGTTTAAATAATCTACCTGATAAATAAGATTTTAGAAATCGGTTCAGCCGTTTTTGGGAAATCATGACGAAAATCAAATTTTTGACTCATCACATAGTAACGACTCAACAATATAGTAACGTAAATATATCTAATTTTTTTTTTTTTAATTTTTTATTTGGCCTAGCTTACTCTGAGCATTTAGCCACCTACAACATTTTTTATTTTTAGTTACAATTCTAATTTTTATATCATTTTCAATCTATTTTATGTATTCTATTCTATATTTTCTTAATTTTTCTTTTTCTTATTATTTTCTTCAATTCTTGTTCTTTTTCAAATTTCTAATTTTATTTAACTTTCAGCTTCATACCATTTTTTCTTCATTCTTCTTTCAAGTTCCAATATTCCTCTTCTTACTCCTAAATCAATTCAACTGTTCGAATTCTGTTATACCTATTTTTCCTAATTTTTATTCAAATTCTATTTAACAAATACAATTTTTATTTGATTTCAAATTAACTACACATATTACTTGAATAATTCAACAAACATTCGATTGCTGTTGATAAGAAGACGTGCTGATTAGTTTTTGACATTAGCAGGTCTAGCCGTTTCGTTTGGGACAAAAAGTGCCACAAACGGTAACTCAGTTTTTATGAGAACGGAGCGTCCGATTTTAATAATTTAGGAAACAGTTTACTTGTATTGACAAGAGGAAGAATTGATAAAGTTTTCAAGAAGGCAGGTCTAGCGGTTTCTGAGATCTAGTGAAAAAAAGTAAAAAAAAGATGCCATTTGGCGGTCAAAAATGATCATTAGACATATGCACATCAAATTATCAGATGTTTTATAGAGATTTTAACAATAAATATAAATTTTGTTCACATTCCTATAGGTTTCGTACCAATGTTTACGCGCTTCGATAATTTGTCTCTATGCAGTTAAAGCAGTATGATTGCTTTGAAAAAAAGTTCAGAGTTTCCAAAATATTTCAAAATAAAGAAAACATTTTTTCTCAGTCTTTTTTTTTAAAAAAAAGTAAATTTTTGTCAAAAATTTATAGTTTCTCAAAAATCTAATTTTTTCAAAAGTAATTTTTTTTCAAAAATGTTAATCTTTTTTTAAAAAAAAAAAAAAATGGTACGAGAAGCTCCAGCAATTTGCCTTAAGGCACGATGCCATGCGCGCCACTAGTTTATTACATCTAATCTAATTATTTATATTATAACATTCGAATCGAATGTTAAAAATAAAGAACTATTAAGGGTTTCATCTTTCTGTTCTTCATATAAATGAATGCCAGCAGTTGAATTTTCATTGAACCCTCGTTTTTTTTCGCTTCCAGCACTGCTCTTCGGTGGTGGCCGCCGCGAGGGCCGGCACATAGGATGCATCGACCCGGTGTGCGACCCGGCGTCCGTGGTGCGAGATGCGTACGAGAACGCGCGATTCCTCTGCGATCAGTACTATCTGGCGGCACCAGATTTGAAATTAGTTGTGCACAATGGTTGGTCCATCATAACTATCATTCACCCGATCATCTACCCATCTGATGTATAGAGACGAATGAAGGTAAGGCGAACAGATCGCGACACGATTGCTGATACGAGATAACTCGAGGATTCAAACAAAGAAAGATTCACTCTAGAACGGAATTATGTTTTGTTATAACATTTTTCTCCGATTAGTTTGCCAGGGTAATGTTTTGAATTTTTTGAGCGTTTTATGATATACGGGGAGCTAGGGGCTAGCTGTAACAGGGGTAACTAGTTACAGGCGTCTTTCAATAGGATCTTAAACTATTCGCTCTGCATAATATTGTTATAGCTACTAGGGAATGCAATACCGGTATACCGGTATACCGAATTATCAGTAAACCGCCCGATTTTTTGGCGGTATTTTTACCGATATTTACCCCAAAAATACCGTTATTTTCGGTATTTTTACATAAGCGCTATTTGATACATAATACACGAAAGTTTAAATTTCTCGGAACAAATTTATCTTTAAATTCCATAATCGCATAAACAGCTATATCTTCAAGTGATTCTATAGGATAAACAAATGTCAAATATTATCTCAACTCGTCATTAAACTGAATATTTATTGCTTTACTAAGGGCTTCATATCGTGTTACAATAAATAGAATTGGACTGATAGATAATGATGTTTTATTTATCTTATGTAAAAATGTAATGGTTTTTTAAGTGATATTTGCGCCAAAAAATTTTATATCATACAGATTACCCCTGCGTAATCTTTATTTTTTTCTAACTTTATACATAATAATTATGTTAATTACTAAATATTTTTGTTCTTATTACAATTATAAAATATTAAATAAGTTTGAAAATACTATAGAAGCATCACATTGTTTTAAATAACAATACTCAACAATTATAGTAACTTATTATTTATCTCGACAAAGTATCCGATCTTAAATTAGTGTAGAAAATTATTTTTTTAAAATCTTGGAGATTATGCTAATTTAACACATCGGATACAGACAATACAGTTTATTATAATAATGTAATATGATCTTTCGTGAGTTTTTGGTCTTTCTTACTCATAAGTTTGTTTTTAGTGAAAAGTACTCAATATACTCGATAGTGATAATGAATTAATTAAATTGTATATAATTTTGTTAAATTATTATTTACAAAAATTAACCTATTGTTTTATTTTATTGTTTTTATTGTTTAGTTGAATATAGTTGTAGTTGTATATACATTTTTTTATATTTGTACTAGTAACTTTCAATTTTGTTTACGTTTGTATTTGATAATAAAAATACCGGTAATTTACCAGTATTCCGGTTTTAAAATGAAAAATTACCGAAATACCGGTATTGAAATTTTCCATCGGTATTGCATTCCCTAATAGCTACTATCCCGCAGGCCAACGCAATAAACAGAACTGTGCAGGTCCGTCATTTTTGACGTCTTATATAATTCATAAACTACCGGCTGCGTTATTATTATCGACTAATTTTAAATTGTATATATCTTAGGGGGCGTTCATTAATCACGTCATCGATTTTTTAAGGATTTCTGCACTTTTCCTCATAGTGATATTCAACATTAATTTGTTTTATTTTTTTATTATATTCTTATTTAAACTTTTGAATTCAATTAATATATCTATACATATACATATATAGAGTTATCGTGTCACGTTGTTTGTCGCAATACTCATTCGAAACGGTTTGACTGATTTATATGAAATTTTATAATTACTTTCAGTATAGCTGAGAATCAGCCAACATTTATTTTCCATATCCCTAAATGGTAAGGGTTTCCTATATTTTTATTTTTTGATCCAATATCTTCTATTTTACTTTTTCATACGGGCATAAAATTCACTTTCCTGCCACAAACCCTCATTTCGTAATAGTCATTTTAGTAATCGAATAATTTTTCATCCCACTTTCAGTCACTGAATTTTAAGTAAGATTTTCATGAACTTGTGGCAATTAAATTTATATTTAAACAAAACTTCTTTTATTAAGGGTTGTCCATCTATAACATTTTTTTTAATTGTGATCAAATCTTTGTTTTAATTTTTTCATGTTTAACTCCTATTTTGTATTAGTCATTTTAGTATATCAATAATTTTTGATGCATCACCACCGATCGTTTATCCTCTATTTTGTGAACGTTTTTCACAGAATTTTGATTAAGATTTTCTTCAAAGAACTAGTTTTTTAAAAAACAAAAAATTGATCAAAGGTTGCCAACAACTAATACTTATTTTTAATTCCTTGAACTAATTTCTTTTACTTCATCTTTTTATACTGCGATTTTATGTATTGAAAAATTCGAACATTCCTAGATTTTCATCTTCTTACCCCAATCTCCTATTTTGCAATAATAATTTCAGTAACTTAATCTTTATTCTTCTTGATAACTTATTAATTATAAATATTTCTCAGTTGATTTCTATTAAAATGTTTGTGAGACTGTCAATGCTGAAATTTTTCTATTTTTTTCATTTGCATTAGTAATTTATATATTTTTAACATATCAACGCAACTCATTAAAAATAATTGAGATTTTTTTATCAGATAAATTATTCAAAATATAAATCTTCAATTCAATAAAAATAAAAATATAATTCAAATATGATTTATGTGTTAAATTTATTGGTCCTCATATCATTCAATACAAATGATGTGATTTGTAGTAGTTCTAAACGCGATAGCCGGTTTCCATATTATACCGCGTTATAGGAAGATTGACTGTATACTAATTTTATCATTTATTTCACAGATTTAATGGGAAATAGTTAATTAATATGAAAGTGACCCCTTTTCTTGAACAACATTTTTACTATAAGTATATGAATTATTTTTTAGCTAAAGGTTAAAATAATTTTATTCATTGATGTTTCATAATTTTTGTAATAAATATCTTATATAATTTTTTGAAATTTATTATTTATTTATTATGAAAAAGCATAAATTTATTTCTTTCAACATTCCGTTTTAGAGTGGATCTTAAGTTTCAAGTGTATCATATTTAGAATTGGTTTAATACTTAAGTGTAGTTAAAATTGCTAAAAAAAATACCACATTGATTTTCATGTTTTTTAGACATTGGCATAGAAACACTAAGTTTTAACATTTGTTTAATTGGTAATAATAGTCAAAATATACAAGTATAATTATAAGATGTATTGCAACCAGAGCTAGAACTGGTTTAGAATATGTTTTTTACTCTATTTTGTTTTTTGACTCACCTTATTCTTTGAATCACCTTATTCTCTATACATTGGATGCGTAAAAATAATTAATCGGGATAAATTAATGGCATGGCTTGAATTTCTAATAATAAAAATTTTCAATAATCTATCTGTCTATTAACATATTTCAGTGGAATCTTATATCATTCATACGTTCATGTTATTGGACTGCATATTGCGTATATAAATTTAAAAGAACATTCCAGATTTAGTTTTTATTTTGTTTTAGTTCAATATTAATTGAACATTGAACGACAAAAATGGCACTTTTATTTAATTTTTTTTTAAATCTACTTAGAATTGCACGCTGTTTTCAAATATACCTTCCATTATACCGTAACAGCTCTAGTTTTTGAGTTTTAAGGAACTACCCCAATTAGTCATTTCGGCTATGATTATCGCAGCTTAACGAAAAACTAAGAGTTTTATCTGCTGTTTTCAGTAAGGCTTCGATCTTTAGACGTTGTGTGCATAATCCAGATAGTTTTTGTAACATCTTTGGTTAATATGTTTTCGACAAATACAAAAAACCTATGTCGGACTGCATAAAGACATCGTATTTTAACCACTTTATCTGAATTGCGCAATAAAGATGAAACCTGCGTTCTTCATACTATGTGAAAAAATTGCGTAGTGTGTTTAAGTTATTATCCAGAAGAAAAAGGAAATGTTATAATTTTAATGCCCTCGTCATTTAGAAAAAAACTTCAGAATCACCATGACGATTGTTTCTTCTGTATGGTAAATATCAATTAAATAAATTCAGGCAATAGAAGCAAATAGTCATAAACCACAACCCTTATGGTATTGATGTCTACTTACGATCAACTACAAGAACCCTATCCATGCTAATGATGAACAACCTAGAACATCAACATCTCGTGCCTACCAAGTGATGGATGTAGAAACCAATATTTAAAGAGGCGACAGGAAGGATTAAAAACAGATAAATTTGATGTAATTGGTTTGAATTCATCACCCGCACTCTTATTCAGAACGGTTTTTGATAAATCTTGGAAATTTTAGCGAAGAACAGGGCGAGAGAATCCACCAAGACATCAGGACTTTGGAGGAGCGATATCAAGGAAGGTGGGACATCTACATGATGGTTGACAATTGTTGGAGCTTATGACAAAATCAGTCAGGCCTTGTCCATGATTGAAAATCATATAAAAAGACTTTTGAATGCACAAAATGAAATATGTTGTATTTTTATTGTAATTTGAGGTAAAATTAGCATATTGGCATATCTCAAAAACTAGAGCTGTTAGAAAATTTATGTTACTGTTGTGGAATCAGCGTCCTCGAATTACTTAACAACCATTATATCATTTCAGGAAAAAAATTAGTGTCGCGCAGTGTTATTATAATTATTATAATACACCTTCATCTAAAGTATAAACAATAACTTCAAACTATATAGGAGAGTGAAAACCTTATATTACTACTGAGGATATTTTTGGAAGCTATCAATTTTTATTCTGTATTTTATTTGTCAGAATTAACTTCAAATTGCAATTAACCCTTTCGTTACGAAAGTGACGTAGGAGTGACGCTGCTGTACGTGCCAGTAAACCACCCAATTATTTGTTGCACAAAATATTTTCAGATTTTCCAATCATTATCCAAAAATTACACCTCTGACAGACTTAAAACCACAATAACAAATAAGAATTCCTAATATTTCAATTTAGATAGTGATAAATATTGAACCTAATTCGTACCCACAGATCGTCAAGCGGATGTCGTCTATAGACGACGCTCTTAGCGAAAGGGTTATGACATGAAGAATAAATTTTAATAGTTTTAAAGAATATAATTATTGTTGTTTACTAATTCTTGTGCAATATAATTGAACTTTTAATGAATAAGCATTTAACATACTTGGCCTTTTATAAAATTTTACTATACCATTTTCTTTGTTGAGAAGAGATGATTATTAATTTTAATAATCCAACTAATTATAGTAAATTGTAGCGCAATAAGTACTAAATAACGGGCATTTATAGTAAATTAGTATGATTTTAATCAACTCATCAATTATGTTCTAAATTTTCATTCAACTAAATTTTCATTTAGTAAATTCATAATTTACAGAATTTCAACTCATCAATTTACTTTTTTTTTTGTAAAAGCAGAGAAGAGATATTTGTTTTTGTTAATTGTGTGTAAATTAACTGTGTTGTTGTCATGCATGTTTACGTTAATGTTTTTAATTAATACATCCATTTAATGTTTACTAACATATGCTTTTTATAAAGACAGTAGATAAAGTCTATTTATTTCGTCGAGAAAACATTTATTTTGAGTAATATTAAGTCCGGTATAAATTAACAGAGTTTTTAAAATATATATATTTTAAAACCACTGCTTTTTACTATGAAATTTTAAAATACTCGGTCATAATTTTTAAAGCAATAATTGACACACTGGATGTCGTCTATAGGCGACACTCGTAGCAAAAGGTTTAAGACGTATACATTTTTATATATGTCTAAAAAATATTATTTTAATTAAATCCTATGCAAATTAACAAAATTGTTAGTGTGCAATTGCATTAATTCAGTTGTATTTATTTTCAGTGACATTTGATGTCACAAATCTTAGTCAATTTTGCGGGTAGTCCAGTAGCATAATGTCTACTATCCAACTTGGCAGATAGATATTTCTGATTTTTAGTTATAAAATAGAATTATTAAACTATGCTGAATTGCAAAATAAATATTTATTGTTGCTTATTGATAGAAATGGAACAAGGAGCCGATATCAGAATTGTTTATGTACCAAGTCATTTATACCACATGCTCTTTGAACTATTCAAAAACAGTATGAGGGCGGTAATGGAGTACCACGGAACAGGAGGACACGACGTTCCACCAATTAAGGTTCGCATTGTCAAAGGTCAAGAGGATATTTGTGTAAAGGTAAGGTATAAATTTTGTTGCTTTGACCATTCGACCTTAATAAAATATGATATATATTCGTACTTTGTTAGATTTCGGACCAAGGAGGAGGAATTCCAAGATCACAAACAGATCAGTTATTTAAATATATGTATTCCACGGCGCCACAACCACTGCACTCGGATACAAATATTGTTCCTTTAGCTGGTAAGTAGAAAGCTGTTAAAAAACAAATGAAAAATAGAATACAATTGCAAAGGAATTGAATAGAAATTATTGTGGTTAATAGCGTACATAGGTCTGAAAAGGTTTTCAAAAATATAGTACATATTTATTAACTTCCAGTAGGGTAAATTGTAGTAATTGCAAAAACATTGAAAATGAATATTTTTCGATATCTCTACATTTGAAATCCTTTTGAACAATTTTGCATACCTTAGAAAAAATGCATGTAAGTATGAGTGTTTGCGTAGTATGTATGCATGTGCGGATACAATCTTTCGTCGTCGATTTAAGGAGCGAGGAACAAATTTGAATAAAAAAAATTTGATTCCTATTGGTGATGAAAAATGTATAATTTAATCGAATGGTACGAGAAGTTTTAGAGTGCAAGCCAAAAGCTTCAGTGCAAAATTATTGGATTGTTCGGAAAGTAACTTCGTTTTTTATAGTCATTTTGCCACGTAATTTTCGTACATTAAACAAATACTTTAATAAATTATTTTTTGACAGTTTTGATCGAACATCTTTTGTCATATTTCATGTATTAGCATAATTCCGAGATCATAAGTTTTTTTGGTCATTATTGGCAGAAACCTGATCAAAGTGCTTTTTGACATGCTGATTTGAGGTAAAGGTTTTACCGCCTAAAATTTTTTTTAGTACCCGGGAATAAATAATGGTCCGATGAGGTTTGGACAATATGGTGAATGTGTCATTGGGTCCCATTCAAGCTACAAAAGCTTTTGGCGATTGACCAAACTTATATGAGATCTTGCGTCGTCTTGATGCAGGACTATAGATTGCTTGTGGTTTAATTCGGACCTTTTCTATTGAAGTGTATCATTTAGTTTATCCAGCTGATGATATAAGGCATTCGGATTTACCGTTATGTTATCCTAGAGAAGCTGAAAAATGAACAACTCCTTTAAAATATTACCAAGCATACAGCATTACCTTTTTCTGGCCAATTTCAGTTTTGCACCTGTTTTGAGCAGGTTCTTCTTTTTCATATCATGGGCAATTGCGTGTATTGTATTCTTTACATCCCATTTGACATTCCTAGTCACAATTCGCTTCAAAACCTGATAATTTTCAGCACTTTTCAGAGGCGAATCGCGGACGCCACTGAGACGACACACGTTTCTATCTATGAGAACCATACATTGAATTTCGAGGAAAATCCCAAACCTTTTGAGTGGTTATAAACTGTTAAATTTGATAAATTTTATTTTAATGGGATCTCATGTATTGTTATTCGCCGGTTTGCATCGACTAATGTTTTTCTCGCGTCTTTATCAGCTTCAGCCATACTTCTTGGATTTGGAGTGACTTTCCGAACAACCTTATAATAACTTTAACACAGTCTTGATACAAATCCTTATCACGTTTATTGGTTCATAAACAGAATATATACATGCTTATTTATCTATGCATAACAACATTTTTGTTATCGCAAAAATAATAATGTTTACGTAAACGAGTGATATGACCACAAAGGGCTACAATTAAAATTAGTCCATAACTTACAATTAACCTATTTTAGCACATTCTGCAAATACATCTTTATTCAAAAATTCTTTTTACCTTATAATATAGTTTATAATTGTAAATTAAGTTTGGCCAACAAATCCAATGAAAATCAAATCACATTTCATTGTTTACAGTTCAAATTTAAAAAAAAAATTATAATGTCAAAAATAATATGCAAGTATATATTTTATCAGGATATGGCTATGGGTTACCTATATCTCGGTTATATGCTCGATATTTCCATGGAGATTTGGTCCTCATGTCCTGTGAAGGCTATGGTACAGATGCCATCATCTACCTTAAAGTAAGTTTTAGCACTTACTTCAACATATTCATAGAATTGTAGTATTAAATGATATTCTAAATTCTTCTTCAGGCATTGTCAGACGAAGCAAATGAACTGTTACCTATATTCAACAAAACTTCATCCAAATTTTACAAAGCCACTGTACCAACAGGAGATTGGTCTAATCAACTAAAAGTTGTCAGAAAACAACCGATAATTATATAATATTATTACTGATTCTACTAAGTAGATCATTATATTTTAGGTAATTGATGTATATGGAAATTAATATTTTTAATACAATATTGTTTAAATGTTCTGGATATTTTACTTATTTTAGTAGTCTGTCATACCATCTATATTTCCTTATGCCATCCTTCTCATATCTCACTTTTTTCTTACATGTTTCATTTGACTTTGTTCCTAGAAGTTAACAATTGAGGAGTTAGTAACAATAGTGGACGATCCCACATATACCATGAACGCTAAACGCCATAAAAATGTGTCGAAAAATTCGCTGTTTTTTTTAAATGATTTCATATTATTTCCAATTAATTTTCGTACTACTTACCATTTATTTTTACTTTCTTTTTTTTCACAATTAAAATGAAATAGAAGCTCCATACAACTTTAAAGCTGGGGCAGATTTTTGCTGATATTTAACAGGTATAAATATTATGTTTATTCTAGTTTGGCAACATTATTTAGTGAAAGACTTATCACCGTATTTCTATTTTTATAAAAATACCGTTTTTATATTTCATGTTTTTAATCCAAATTGTGCATATGATTTTTTAGATTAATGGAACTCATATCAAAAAACAAGTTTGTGAAGACAATAAGAACTAGGACGTTGGATTTAGAAATAACTGAACAATGTCTTTCCCATTACTTGGTAAGTGATGAATAATATCTTTCTGTTTTATATTAATTCATTCTATACATATTTATTTTTGATCTGAAAAATAAAATAAAAGAAAGCGTTTTCTGCGCGGAGTGACCAGTAAACCGCCCAATATAGTAAATAGTGAAGTAGCCATATAATGTACATTACAAATTGTTAGATTCGTCTCAAAATTCTTAGTTTTTCTTCTATATATATCAACTTGCTGAAATTTAAGGAAAATGGAAAATCTCAAGAATATTATATTGACTCATGTATTGAATTACTTTCTATCATTTTATTCATAATTTTATTCTGCATCTTTTCTTCTAACAAATTTTTAATGTAGGATAGAATATGTGTGAATATTTAGATGTCTACATAAAAAGTGCTAATAGGTCTGAGTAACCATTCAAACTATTCCAAAAATTCATAAAAAAACACAATGTATCAAATATCGTTAAAAGCATTTCAAAATCCTTAATTTATTTAGCATATATAGTAACGAGCGAGAAATACTATACGTTTTTGTAATTAAAATCTGAATTATTTTTGATATACAAAAAAAATTGAAACAATTTTTTTTTCCCAAAAGCTATTATTTTGTAGAAACAAGCAGAAAGTTATTTGAATCATTCAAATCGGACACTTAGTTCCCTCAAAAATTGCCATTTTTTGCACATTTAGCTCTATATCTTCAAAATGCCTTTCGGACCTGCCTTTGCCAAAAACGAATTATATCTTCTCCCAATCATTACAAATTGAATGTTTTTTAGGTCATTCAAATCAGATACTCCGTTCTCTCAAAAACTCTATTGGTATTTTCTGCACTCTTTGCTACGTATCTCCGTAACGGCTGGACCTGCCTTTGCCAGAAACTAATCAGCACATCTCCCTATCAATAGGAATCGAATGTTTTTTGAACCATTCAATTCGGTTTATTTGTGCGCCCGAAAAAATGCGGACATACAAAACACACACATCCAATTAGAACAAATTTTAATTATGCCAAAGGTATATTAATTTCTTATAATTTACCAAATATTTGAGCAAAATTTAACAAAACATGAAAACAAGTCTGCAGCTATTATAAGTATTCAAAATATTGGAATCGAATTCCATTAATTCTGAAAATTGAATAATGATATCCAGTATCATATAATAAAGAGTATGGAGACACGCATAAATAAATATATATTTTTTGATTTATACTAAGAGGTAATCAAATTGATTATTAGATTTACTTGTGAAATTATTTTACTTTACTATTTATATTAACAAAATAATTTAAACTGCATGGTTAAAATAAATAGTTTATTAAGATTGATAAAATCACAGCACAATTTTTATATTTATGAAGTACGATTGCTATACAATTAAAAAGATCTAAAATAGTAAAAGCACAATAAATTAGAATAAAATGATAAAATATATAAAATTTTATGTCATGATTATTGCAATATTGAACACTCCTATATTACTCCTTATTATATATTATTTATCAATCTCATCATGACTTTCATTCTCTGACTTATTTGAATTTCCAGATTCTGAAAAATGATTATTTAGAAGAAATAATTAGTGAAGTGCAAACAAACCAAAACAAATTTCTTGAACTTGTTAAGAATACAATACCTTCAAGTGGTTTACAATCATCTGTATTTTCATCATCACTGCCCTCAGATTTGGACTCCTCCTTACTCTCATCACTAGAGAGAGCTGGAGCAATAGGCCTTTGTTTTCTAGCAGGATTAAAAGTTGCACAGAAAGCGCAACGAAATGCTAAATATTCAAATTCTTCCTCTAATGCCATACCTGCAAACCAGAATAAAAGTTCATTTGAAATGCAAATGACACATTTTAAATGTTAAGTTTGTTAAATAATTTCTTACCATTATGGTTGAAGCATTGTGTGCATATTAGAGCATACCGGCCTGTTGGCCCATCTCCAATTATATAGTCAACCATTTTATCTAAAAATGATCGATTTGGCGAAAGTATTGGCCTAGGTAGAGTTTTGTTAAGACTAGGTGGGGAAGGCAGTGCCAGTTGATTAGAAGTTAATGACATAGACAATGAAGTGTTTCCTACAGATAAATCATACATTAATATCATAGTGTTCCAACTTTATTTTTCATAATCAACAGAAATTAAAAGAAATGTACCTTTCTTTATGAATGGCGAATTTGTTACACTTTGGGTTTTCACTGTAATTAGAAATCATTACATATTTAATATTTATTTATATATGTATATAAATAATAGTTACAAAATAAAATGTGGCACAATATTTCTACTTTGCATCAATAATATAGTGCAAATACCAAAATTAAAGAATTTTTTGTAATTTTCTACAAATTTCTTAATATAAAATACTATTAATATCATTATCAAATTAGTAATTTAACAAGGTTGCCACAAACCCTTTGAATATGAATTTTTCTTTCTTCATTATTTTCATCAGATTTTTTTTTTATCAATCTACCTGCACTAGTTAAGCTCTTGGTGCTATTAACTACTGGTGCTGGTGAAGCTGAACTTGATATTGGCACAATTTTCTTGGTGACAGGACGCTCATCAAATCTTTCTAAGATTTTCAGTGCTTGTTCATAAGTCTGTGTTTTCATAACCTGTAGTATAATAATTTAGCAAGTCATTCATAACATATCCAGGTTCAGATCATTAGAATATGGATTATACCTCATCTAATATTTTTCGTTTTTTCTCTCTTAATGCCATTAATTTTGAGGCATTCTTCGATATTTTTCGATCATAGTACCATCCAATTAATTTCTTGAATAAAATAATTCTGAAATGAAACATGATTCAGAATAGTTTAATATTGTGTAGAATATATATCTTAAATAAAATTCAAGAAATAATTGAATAAGAAATAAACCGTAGAAAACAAAGCTAATTTTATGGTGTCATATCAATGTAGAATAAAGAAGCATAATTAGAAGCTCATATCAATCGAAGCGAATCAGGTATTTTTTATCAATTATAAATAAAACTCACACTAAAGGGAACCCTACAAGTGGTGTAACAACATAAAATATTCGTTCTGGCCATGTTTTTGGTAAAAAATATTGATAAACCAATGCAGCACTAACAAAGTAGAGACCCATAGATGAGTAAACGATATTTGTTATAATACTTCTTCTTTGTTTCTTTGTTGATTGGCCATAGTCTTCAATTAATTTTATATCATACTCAAGCTTCTCCAAAACTGCGTAAGTTGACTTCTCCTTCTGCAAAAATTAATAATTTTTACAAATATAAAATGAAGTATGATTTACAGATAAAATAAAGCGAACAAGTGTTAATTTAATATATAGCTTTATTGTTGCAAGCAAACATTTTCTGAAAAATATGCATAAATAGTTCCTGACATTTTGCAAGTATATTGTATTAAATATGTTATATGATCTTTTTTTTTTTCTTCAGGCACTGTTGTGAATATTTAATTCTAACATTTAAATAATTTATTTTGTCAATCTAAGTTTCAGACCTGTCAAAGTTAATTTAATAGAAAAATGGTTTAATAATTTATTACTGGAAGCAAATAACAAATGAGTCACATAAATATAACATTAGTATTTTAATTACTAAAATGATTCATGCTATATCCTCCTACACAAATTTGATACTTTAATGTTTTGAAAATTTGTTGTAACACAATCTTTGTTTTACAAATAATGATTGCTAAATTATATTTTATTTATCAATTTAAGTTTCAGAAATATTGATGCTAGAATTTTAAGAAATATTTATATAGTTTAGTTTAATATTAACAAATATAAGAATGATTTTTAATTATAAAGCAGAGCCATAATATGCAATGATAGTGCAATTTATAAGTTTTATATAAAGATAAATATTTGAAACTCATGTTCATATTTCTTATAAGCTTCTAATTTTGTAATTACAAGAACGAGTTAAATATATTAGAAGAAAATCAAATATAATACTCTAGTATTAAAATAGATGTTGTATAATATATTTATAACCAACACTTCTAAATTAAACATTTATTTATACGAAATATGTAATAAATGTGCTCAAAATATTTACACGTAAACAATAAATTTATAAATAAATTAATTCCTTAAGGGGTGGCTTACGATAAAATAAACAATAACAAATTCTAAAAGATAATCGTAACACCTCTGGTAAAAATATGAAAAATAAAGTTGAAAAAAATCATTACTTACACGTAATCTTGCTATTATTGCTCCCATAGCGTACGATATAAAATTTTCTAAACACTATAAAACCTGAAGATGATAAAACTAATTAATTTTATAAAATTTTATATATTATAAGGCATTTTGTATTTTGTCATAATGTCATTTCATCCGCGTTGCATTGGTGTTTCCATAGATGAGAAGTTTACAACAGTAACAGGGATACAAACATAATAGCAATAAATTAATAATTAAGAGTGTCACACAACGTTATTAAAAACTATCAACAGTCCTTATTCTAGAAAAGATATGTTAATTTTATATTTATTTTGAATAAGTACATACTATTTCTTAAGCCCTCTACATTCTAATCCGATCTAATTTATTTTTATATATTTTAATCTGTAGTCGAGAATAAATTACTTTTATTTTTTTGAGTCGTAATGTCATATTTTGTTTTGCAATACAGTTTTTAAATTCAACAATAATAAATTAAAAGGCTTTTAAATAAAACGTACAAAATTGAATAATCTATAATACAAAAAAATATAATTTGCATACACGTGCGACCTACATAAAATATATATTTGACTGTTGGTCGAAGCAGTTGAGTGTGTCCCAAGCCTTAGATCTTTTGGAGTTTATCAGTTGTCTATTCTGATGATTTCTGTAGCACATGTTGCGCAAATATTGAATTAATTAATATATGAAAGTTTGTCGCTTTTATATAAGTATTATTATTTTGGAATATCTAATACAAAATTAAAGCATTTATATAGTTATGAATGCGTATTTTCTCATTTTCGATGAAATAGTCGGCAAATAATTTTCCATTGCAAAATTTGTTATCTCGGGATCGATTGCTATCGAGTGTGCTATCTATACGGAGCGGTAGTCGTATTCTGTGCCGTTGTAATATCACGTTTTGCTATCGGTCGGCGTTGGTGTAGTGTTCTTTATTCTTGGTTTTTCATGAATGCGTTGAAATCAGGGCTAAAAGTAGCCGTCACGTAATCTTCCAACATCTTATCGTTGTGAAGATATTAAATATATTTGAGTGAAATGGAGAATATGTACGGTGTTGGAGTAACTAATAGGTATGATCTTTTCCTCGAGGAAGAGGTCGATCCTTTAGAATTATTGCAAAGCAAGGAGCAAGAAAAGGAGCTCCGAAAAAAGTCCAAAGTAGCTGAAAAAGAGAATAAAGGAAAACCTGAAGCTAAACCTAAAACTGCCGCTAATGTCCCCAGGAAGGGAATTAAAGAAACTCCTAATAATAAAACTCAAGAGATTAAAGCACGCGAAGGTAACCATTGCAATTTTTTAACGCTTATCACATGTGCTCGATTACAAATGATCGCTATTTTTTTTAGAGTTAACGAAAATATATCCTTGAGAACGCTTGTTTCAATGCTAATTTATGTGCATATATTGCTTATCTACATATTCATTCTATATATATGCATATACATACACATTGCACACACACACATATACACATATATTCCTATTTATAGACACATAATTATAAGGATACTATTTATATATAAATCTATTTCTTTATATATATATATATATATATATATATATATATATATATATATAGTTAGGCCTCTTTGAGGTACTGAATAAATAGTAACCTATTTAGTGACCACCGCGGTTTTGACAAGTCTTTCTAAAAGGAATTCATACCTTCTACAGCTTGAATGCTAATTCAAGTTCTGTATCTTGACAACTTGATATCATTATTATTGAATGACTTGAATTGTTCACATTTTATTCTCAAACTGATTGTTTTGCCATTAAACTTACTTTTGCAATTCCATGAAAAGTTGAGCAATGTGCTAAAGTTATTTAAGAGTTTCAAGAAATTTATTTTTTGGTTCATGTCTGCTTTAACATAAATAGTTTTGCATAGTGTATGATACGTTCACTTGATTTGCCACTAATCTTACTATTTAGTGAGAAAGCTTTGCCATTTCAATATAAGTAAGCATCTACAGTTCACTTTATAGGATTCAGCAGTTTAATTTTCCAACTTTCAATTAATGTCATAAAATTACCTACCAAAATTGAAGCAAAGGCTCCAGTTAATATTATACAGTTTATTATACAATTGATTATACAGATATATTGCTTTGGTTTTTTTTATTAAAGTATGTTACTATTGAATTTTTACTTTATGGTCAACTTTTAACTAACTTTTTGAGTACACAATATAAATATATTCATAATACTGATTGAACTTTTATTACCTTTAGACAAGGCAAAACCATTGACTAAGATTAACCCAGAGCGCAATGAACGTGTGCCTAAAGTAGCCGGTGCTAATCGGGAAGAAAGGAATAATAGACGCAATCGTGAAGACCGCCCATACAACCCTCCAGGTGATAGGTATGTTACACAAAAAAAATTGGATTGATTTACTAAAATTGTATACCTTATTTTTTTTTTATTTTACTGAAGTAAAATCATCTTTTTTAAGGGAAGACAGGCCGCCCCGTAGAGAATTTGGAGATCGTGATGTTGAGAGGAACAGAGCTTTAGGACCGAGGGGTGGTCGTGGAGGCAGAGGTGGTGGACGATTTAATGACGGACGCGGCAAACGCGAATTTGATAGGCAATCTGGATCTGATAAAACGTATGTTAATCAGTTTAATAATGAAATATAATTACAATTTATTTGCAGTAAAATTAAATAAATATAAGTTTACTTACCAGTGGATAAGTTTAGTTTTAAGTATTAATATTTACATTATTAAAGATTCATATTTACATTATAGTTGTGAATTATTACATCAATTTCTAGTTTACTTTATTATTAATTATAATGTGAAATTTACAGTGGCATTAAACCTGTTGACAAACGTGAGGGTGGTGGAGCTCACAATTGGGGTACACATAAAGATGACATTGCGTAAGTTTTTAAATTTAGTGACATATTTAGTTAACAAATACAAGAATTTACTGACTTATTCATTTATGTTTATTGCATTGATCTTTCATTTCAATAATATAAAATATTTTATTAGATTTGTTTTTGCTTTTAGTGACTTGAATAAATCTGGACAATCAGAAACTGATCCCTTCTTAGAAAATGACAAGGCCGATGGAGCTCCTGCTTCTGAAAATGCTGTGACTGAAAATGCAACTGAACCGTGAGTAAAATTTGATATTTTTCAATTATTGGTGGAATGAATTGAACAGCTGATTTAAAAATTTGAATCATCTGAATTTCAGCATTTTGTTAGAATTAGGTTTCTAATTTCTCAAATATGTTGAACAGTCATTGATTAAACAATAAAATTATTTTAATTATATTAATTTTATAATTGCAGGGAGACTGAAGGTGACAAACCAGCACCTGTTGAGGAGGAACCCAAAGAATTGACTTTAGATGAATGGAAAGCACAAAAGGCAGCACTAAGACAAAAACCAAGTTATAATTTACGTAAAGCAGGTGAGGGTGAAGATTTGAGCCAATGGAAAAAAATGTACGCCTTAGACAAGAAAAAAGAAGGTGAAGAGGCAGAAACTGATGAGGAATTGGTATGTAGGAATATTTCACTTAGGCACTACTGAAAATGTTCTTTTAATTATGATATATATATATATATATATATATATATATATATATATATATATATATATATATTGAATTTTATTTGGTGTTCAATCTTTTCTGCCATGCTGGTATGTCAAAATTATATGCATATTTTACATTATTGATGTTTGGGCAAAATATGCAATTTTGAAATATTGAGTGATTGGTTGTCAATATTGTGAATTGAAATTACAAAATTAATTATAGCTGTTGTAACAATGCAGTGATTATTATTTAATAAGAAATATATTTCATATTTTATAATCTATATTATGAAGGAATATGATGCAGCTGATTATCCCCAAAGAGTTGGACGTCAAAAACATATATTAGAGATCGAATTCACTTTCAATGATGCACGACGTGGTGGTGGTGGTGGTCGTGGAAGAGGCCGTGGCAGAGGAAATATGGGAGGACGTGCTGACCGCCCACCTCGGCCATTCAAGAATGACGATGTTGTAAGTGTATAAAACATTTTGAATCCAAAAGATTTGTCATAACCTCTATTAATAGTACTCTAATATTTGTTCCATCTGTCTCTCAGTAATATTTTGTAATGTGAATTTAGTATTTTTGTTCTTTTGTATGACAATTTTCTCATCATCATCATCGCCTGCTAGAATGAAAACTTTGACTGATCTTAATTTTTATTCTAATTTTTTTCTCTGTACTCTTAAAACATTTAATTATTAATTTAAAAAATAGATAGTAAAAATATAGTGCTCTTTTTATGGCTTTGCAAAGATTACATCAAATTAATGCTTCTAAGCTAGAATATCTCCTTAAGAGTGCAACATTTGCTTAGCATATAAGGTATATCGACTTTACCCAATTAAAATTTAGATATTTGAAAATCTTCTTATAATTATAATATTGAAATTTTTGTTTTTGACCATACATATGATCAATAGTAAAACAGAAATTATTTGCTTTTTACATTTTTCGGTGTCTGTAACAGTTAAATTTTTTACTTAGGTTGTGGATGCTGTGGATGCCCATCCAGTAGATCGTGAGTCAACTTATGGCGGCCGTGGCAGACAAAATGCCCCAAAAGTGGATGATGAACACGATTTCCCATCCTTGGGTTAATGCGTCATTGTCTCCACCATCAACACCCAAATGGATTGGTATATTCTCATACCATATCATAGTCTGATTAAAATTGGAATGCCTTTTGTTACCGGTTGCTAGTTATTGCTACACTTGATTTTATTATCCTAAGTTAACAATACTGCAACTGATGATTATAAATATAAGATTACATTTGTTTAAATTGTTTCTACATTTTAATCAGTAATGTTTCATTAAAGTATCTGCTATTTCGCTTTCATTATTAATCTTACTATTCATCTAAGCATAAATGCGTTTTTTTTGTATTGGTTTATCATATATATGCCATTTTGGTATGGTCAAGATTTTATACTGTTCATGGTATATAAACAGAAAATATATACATATGTATACATATTTACATATATTTCTATCTCTACATACACCACCTATAAATTTATATATATATATATGTATATATGTATATGCATATATCATTCGCATCACTATTTTTATATATTTAAATAGTTATGCTTTAGATATTGGTTAAATATTTGTTACTCATTTTATAAAAATTGTTATTGTTAGTATTTGGTATTAATATTAGTATTGAATACTTTCATGAACAATTCCATTGCATTACATCGTTGTACATATTTAACATTTAAATTGTTGAAATTAGAAATTATGCTAATCAAAATTTCTTACTGTAATCGTAACTATGAAATTCTAATTCAATATATTTTCTACCATAACCGTGTACATATATATTATTATATATTATATATTTACACACACACAAACACTTAATACAGTTTTGTATATAGACACCAAAATATTAGGCATACTAAAGTTCATTTTCAAATGCTACAGTTTTTTCTTTATGTAGATTTTGTAATCTTCATATTAGACATAATAAACTGATTGTTTTGTTAATAAGAATTTTTGTTCAAACAGCTTCAGTTACGATTTACAGTACCATTGTTCTATGATAGTAGACAATATAAACTATTAAACTACAATGCTATTTTTCTGTATCATTGTAATGTTCACATTAAACATTATTGTGTGTATTTTTAGGAAACTGATTCATTTTCCGTATTCAATATTTTATTATGGGGTAAAAAAAAAAATTTGTGAATGCCTATGTAATTTACGTTACTTGGAGTTTTTGTTTTCATATGATAACAGATATGGTGAAAAATAACCTTGATTTTAAGTGTTCATATTTATAATCATAGTTAATTGTTTTACACATGAAATATGAAAATTGAGCAAAATGAATCATTACTTTTTTTTGCAAAATGATTCATGGGAAATATAAATAATGGAATTAACTATTGTAATTAAGATTATTTTACAATTACTCTCGTTGCTTATTTTATTCGTGAAGTAACTTTTTAATGTCATTTGTACGAATCTTACATGTTAGTGAACAAACAAGACATAACTGGTAATATATATATATTTTTGACAAATATGAAACAAATGTTGCCAGAATACATTTTTTATATTAAAGGCAGTTTTTATGAAATAATTCTTAATGTTTCAATCAAAATATTTAAACCATTTGAAAAATTATTAGTGTTCTTAAAACCAAGTGTGTGAGTGAGAATGAAATGAAGGTAAGCAAATTTAAATACTTTTAATATAGGCGATGTAAAGAAAATTAACAAATCTTTTTTTATTCGATTGGGCTGCAAAATGCTTATATATATATGTATATATATATCTCAATAATGCTGAACTTCGATAGACTGATAGACCTCCAATAATTCGACATCCTCAACGATTGAAATGCTGGACAAGTTTTTGGAAAAAAGCTGGGAATTCAAATACATTATAGTTTGTTATTACCAATCAGATAGGCGTGCAATAATTGTTTGTACTTACTCATATTATTGTTAAAAATACCTTTGACTTTTGAATTTTAAATTTATTGTTGAAAAATACTTTTGACTTGTCGTCCCAGAGCTCAATGTCTGGTTGAAATAGGGTGATTGGATTTGCAGTTTGTAAATTAGTATAATCTGAAGCTTTGTTCAAAGTGTGACCATTCTTTAGTTAATTTTCATTATTTTTGTTCATTCAAACTTTGAAACCGTGACCATAAATAATATTTCTAGGACAGCAGCCGAAAATAATTAACAACAGCCCCAAGTTTTTTAGAGGCTTTAGAGGAATATGAATTTAAAATTTCAAACAGGATTGTAAAATAATACAATACTCATTAGCTAATATATATAGAATATGATATATAATATATCAAATTTAAAAGGATATATATAATATAATATATATCATAATATATTATATATATATATATATATATATATATATATATATATATATATAATAAATATAAATATTATTTATGTCTTATGTGTATATAGATTTGCCTTGGTTTAAGGGCTTCATATAACACTTCATGTTGCTATCTAATTTCATTTACTTTAAAACATGGATCAAAATGAAATTTTGAAATGTTTATTTGGGCACTTTCAATGGAAAATAATTTGGAGTTCTCACACTTCACTTCTCATAAATCCTCCAAAATCTTAATATATAATCTGTTTATATTATAATATAAACATATAATGTAAGTAGGATACTGTCACTATTGTATTCGCATGTATATACATTTGAAATTTGAACCACATCAAAATATATAAAAAACAACTTTATTTATACTATTCATAATTTCGTACAAAAATATTCAATATTTTTAAATCACATTTTTAATGCATTCTCATAATAAATAATAAATCAATAACATCGTGTCAATTATTAACAATTGGAATCTTGTTTAATTTTTTGTTCTACTATAAACCTTGTAACACAACTCAACTTCAGAAGCGTAATATCATTTTGGGATATTGCAAAGTCTTCAACAGAATGTATGTGTTTTAATAATTCAGGATAAGAATTAATTGTATTAGTTGGTTGCGTAAAACTATTCTATTATTAATGTTATTTTCACTGGCTGAACTTTGTTCTACCTGCTCTTGAAAGGTATCAGGAACATTGCCATATAAATTAAAATCCACAGACATAGTTTCAAAATTGTAATAATCAGGATAATCTGCATTAGATTTTGATTCTAAAGACGTATAATTGGGTGTGTTGAGTCCTGTATCAATATCTGCATTTCTTTCGTTAAAACTGTAATCACCAGGATTTCTATCAGCAAACCAAAGCATTTCTTCGGTTTTTACAGGTTCTTGGTTTTCCTCCTTAGCAAGAGGAATAATCTGGCTTTGATTATCCGTGTGAATAGTATCTAATTCAACCATTAAGCCTTCAGGCTCAAATTTAATATCTAATTCTTCATGTATCTCTTCACTGTTCTGATCATTCTTATGTTTTGAATCTAATTCAGTAATCCAGTTAGAATTTTGATTATTAAATACAATCTCTTGTGGTAAATTTTGGGTATTCTTTTGTTTTTCTGTTCGTATTGAAAATTGTCTTTGAAATCTATTCAACCATCTACTAGTAGGTTTAAAAGTTGTTCTATTTAGATATTTAGCAACATCTTTCGCGCAAGACTTTAGTATGGAATCACTAATAGTTAAATTTTGTGAACGGGCATCTTGATACCATAAATGCACAATTCTATTAATATCGCAATTTTTTTCACTTTTGCGAATACGTTTGTATGTCTCCCCATGCTTTTCCCATAGCTCTTTAATTAATTCCTTATTTTTTAATATTTTAGATATTTGAAACTGACTACAGTTGTATTTCGCGCTCAATTCCCGGAGAAGCGTATTGTTTTTCTCTCTTGCTTCGATTATGGCTATTTTTTCTGACATTTTGAGCAAATTGCGCTTTTGCTTCTGTGACATATTTTATATTTCATCAGTTCACAGATTTTTTTAATAACAACATTAAAATACATTCAATGAAATTTATCTCGGACGAAAAACAAGTGTTTTGACATTTCACGTGCAACGATGCCTGGGATGTCAATAGTTCCAAAGTGACATTTAGCGGGCCAGAACGGCCAGAACGAACATTAGGAAATGTGTTACCAGAGTGGCTCATTTTCCTAAGCTGTTATTACGACTGCGGCAATATTTTAACGATATGTCAGTTTTGAATGGATTAAAAGTGCGAAACAAACAAAGTGATTGTGTGATAAAAAATAATGGTATGTAAAATTCAGTAAATATTATTGCATGCATCAATTGATTGTGGAAAAAATACTATAAATACTAAATATTATCAGATGTATTCTTGAATAAGTTTTTGTCCATATATTATAAGTGAAATATTCACTATCTGTCAAACAGAAAATAATCTTATGGCATCGTGCCTTAAGGCAAATTGCCGGAACTTCCCGTACCGTATCGAGATGTTCGAGGAATATTAAATGTTTTCAAATAGATTTTTATCAATACTGTAACATTGTCTAATATTTATAAGAATTACAGGTAACCCCGCATAACACGTTTAGTTACGTTCCAAAAAAGTAGCGTGTTATGTGAATCCGTGTTATACGGGACAAAGAACTAGTACAAAAAGAGGGGTTACGTTCTAAGAATTCAAAAAAACATGCTGCATATCATGACTTTATAATAAATATTGTTATATTAGAAGTAATATACATTACATGAATTATATGAATTTTTTCGTCATAATTAACTGGTAAGTGCTATCCAACACGATCATTTTTTGCAAGATATCTTCATCCTCTGAGCAGTTTTCTGTACTACCTCTAGATTCTAAAAAAAATTATTTGCGATTACCATACTTGCTTTTAGCGATAACATATTTATATATTTACCACATGCAAAGTTATCTTTATTAAAATTTTATGCTCATTTTATTTAAAGAAAGACTAATTAATTAGTCAATTAATTTTAAACAAAGATTCTGGGATAACTCTAGAATTTTTTATCTATAGAATGTAAGCGCTCGAATAATAAGTATCAAATTAGTTATCTTTTGCATTAGTTTCATCACATTTATTGAGCTATTGTACTGCAATTTTACTAACTTTATATTAAATAAAGTTTGATTTGTATAGATTTTACTATATTTTTTATTTTATTATTTATTTAGAACCCGTGCTTTAAAAGGGGATGGTATCAATTCTCAAACCATGTTAGAGCGAAATCGTGTTGTAGAAGTACCGCGTTATGCGGGGGTTACCTGTATATAAACTGAATTACAAAGTTAAAATTATTCGATTAAAGTATATAAGTGAGCTTTAAAACTTTAACCAGAATTAACATTGAAATCTGAAATACCAAAAAAAAAAAAATAAAAAAAAAAATGAAATGATTTTTTTTCCA